CATACATATAAAAATAGTCCCAAATTTCTACTAAATCAACCTACCAATCCTAACCACCATGGAAAAAGATAATGACTTCTAGATTTATTTCTCCACTTTTGGATTTGCAACCGATGAAAACAAACCACATTCATAATGATTACTATATTCTCCATTAGGGGTGGATCTATTTAATAAAAATATGGGTCTATTTACCATTCTCTTATATATATTTATATATTTTTTGAAACCAAGATTCTAAAATATGGCTATACTTATATATCAAGTTTCTTACAAAAGAATGATCGTAAATGTATAGCCAAGTCTAACTCTTGCAAATACATAAATTCATTTGTTTTGTTTTTTGTTTTTTTTTTTTTTTTTTTGCATGTCTTGTAAACAATAGACAATTTTATGAAAATTTTAGAAATAGAACAAAGATAGGTACATTAAGAAATAGACACCATTGTTGATGTATAGATTAGCACCAAATCCAAGGCATTAGAAAAATAAATAAATTCTTTACTTAGGAACAATAACTCTAGTCTTACAACATTCTACCTAAATTCAATTGCTTTAACACAATAAATTGTGGTCTTTTATTAAAGATTATAAGTAAGGATTATTATAATTTTAAAAAAATGTTTTACTTTTGAAGATTAAGCCAATAAAAACAAGAACAGAAGGAGACAGGTTTAGAAGGTATTGGTAGAATATAGTAAAAATTTGAAAAAAAAATACAATACCGAAATAGAAAACAAATAAAAAAAAAAGTAAAAAACAAACATCAACTTGACAAATATAAAATATTTATAAAAAATAAAATAAATCATAGATGGAAAAAGTACTTCAGGAATAAGAAATAATGTGTTTTGAAAGTAGAATTTTAAAATATTAACTTGCAAGTTTTTTGTGCATGTTGTAACAAATCTATTGAAATCAAGATAATTTAAGCTCTTAAGTGTGCTTTGTATTTTATTTGCTATTACTCCTTGATCCACCTTATATATATATATATATATATATATAAAGAGTAAGGATCTAAAATGCCTTACAATTGTTTTTTGTTTTATGCAATGATTTGGATTTAACATGTTTTCAATTTAAGAATTAAATTAAATTATGTCCAAAGTTGCATTAATTTTTTCAAATGGATAAAAATATCTGAAACAAAATGTGACAAAAAGCAGCAGGCAAAGCAAAGCAAAAAGAATCTTATCCAGTTTGACCTAAACTTCTCTCTCCATGTTGGCCTCCATTTCCAAGCGGCGGACACAAATAAGACCGAAACACACACACACATGAGTATATTTATAAATAATTTTATTTATTTCTGCGCATATGTGTATGGCTTCGATGCAATCCCTGCAAATTCAATGCTGGCTCGCACCACATCGGTACCTTCAAGCCCCACATCCCCATTGAAAAGCCTCTGTCGGAGGCTTTTTATTTACCTTTTCTATCCTAATGACAAAAGTAGGAGTTTGCAAAAGCTCCCACCAATGACTCAGCATTAACTATTTAAATCCCCCCGAAAGAAGCTTTCAATCGATCGAATTGGATGACGCTGACATGACCCACCTTTTCTGCAAAACTAGCTTCGAAAGATGATATGGCAGGCTCCGGATGTGGGTGGCCCTGTCGTTGCAGACAATCGTCGGAAAAGAAGCAAGGGAGTTGAATGGGCCCTTTCTATGGTGACCCTTGCGACGTCTTTCTTTGTGTGTTGGATGAGCGGCGTCGACGACGGCGCTGACAGGAGGGAACCTTCCGTTTCTTTCCTTTTAGGGCAGTGATTTCAGCCAGGAGGTTCCATGTGGGAGCCTGGTGTCAGAGTGGGTTTTTATTAAACTCACTCTATTTTGGAGAACCGTTTTACGGAAAAGGAAGTAATCCACTGGTGTTAATTGAGGCGGGGATTAGACTCGAATAAAGACCCTGGTTTTCAAAGGTAGATGCGGCTTTCCGAAAATCCTTCGTGAACATTATGGCTGGCCTCTTTTATTATTTGTCGTCAGATGAAATGTGTGTTGACAAGAGCCATCACGCCACGGGACATGTCTTCGTCGGCGACACAATCGCCATCATGCCACTCGACCAGTGAATGGGCATGCCGTCTCGGGCACATCTGCAAGTCAGATGATGCTGCCTGCTTGCTTGCTTCCTGCGCCTTCGAATCAGAGCCATGTTCCCGGGAAATTCCGCAACCGCAACGAACCGTGCAGCATCCACCGCGACTAGGGAACACCTCCTGAAAAAAACATCATTAGGCTCTTTCCAGGGGTGTATTGAAGGACGTTCGGAAGACCAATCCGCCGCAACGCCATCGACAGTTGGGGAAGAAAGCTGGATCGCGTGAATGGCTGCGCGAATCCATTTCGATCTCAAAGCTCGACGGTGGTGCAGTTGATGCGGTCGGTGGACTTAGCCGCACAGCACGGCACGGCATGGCACGCGGCTCTCTCTCTCTCTCTCTCTCTCTCTGTCTTAGCTCTATGGCCGCGGACTCCACCTATGACCGCTTTCAGTGCCGACCCGGCAATGGTCCCCGTGGTATTATTTCCGCAGACGAATCGAATTATGCTTGCTAAACGTTTTCCAACAAACCGGTATTTTTGTTTCAAATTTGGAAATTAAAAATTTACTAAAAAATAACTTAAATGTTCTTTTAAATATATGTTAGTGGGTACGATATGTCAGTGACGTTGAGTGACAATCTATAGGTATATTAATAACTAGAAGCTGATCCTGTGAATTTGATACAGTAATGTCATAGACATGCTTCCAAAGAAAGTTTCTAACAAAATCATCATACGTCAAAATTATATATATATATATATATATATATTTAAAGTTGGACACTGACACTAAAATATCATTACTATACATATTATGTATATTTATATTTAAAGCCTTGTAGTGAAACTATTATTCTTAGTATGACATGATATTATCCAGGTACTATATCCGTGTAACAGAGATGATATCAAATTGTATCTATTTTTTAAAAAAAGTAACAAACTTATGATAATTTTCCCTTCGAAAAAGTTTATGTGTAGAATAAATTTTGACCATATGGAATCATTGTTAGCTATGTTTTTCTATATATCTATATGTATGTATGTATGTATGTATGTATGTATGTGAATCAATTCAAGCATGGAAATGATAGAAAATTACTAAAATTTCAAATTAAACTAATAAAATCATACACTTGTCCCAGACGTACAATTGTTTTTTCTTTGTTCAAAATGAAAATGTACCTATGTATTCTTTTTTCCTGAGGACCAATATTAATTTATATCGTTTAAAATTAGAATAATAAGAAAATAGCAATTTTTTTTGTAATTTTATCTTTTTTAATGTGATAAAAACATAACATAACCTAGAGAGATGCCGCACGAAGCAGGTAAATGAGTTCGAGGAAACTGTCGTCCACATTCATCCCACAACTGCGCAGTCTTCCACATCCATAGCAGATCATCCATATAGTCCGAGACATCGTCAGAGGGGAAATAGATGAATAAAGATTTAGATGCTCCATTTACTCATTCATCCTCATGTCTGTTCGTCCACGTCCCCTCCTCCACCGGCTGTCCCGGTCGCCATGAATCCAAGGTAACCGTTCCGATTGGTAGTGAATGTCTCCACTTGTGGAATGCTATTTAAGAGCGTATAGAATTGCGCGGTGACGAAGGTCATTCATTTGTGGATAAGAGGAAAGATGCAGTCGGTGCTCGTTAAGGACTTCACGGTTTGAAGATTGTTCGCGAGTGAGGAACCCGAATCCGCTTTACCCTTAATCAGGGTGATTGCCTGTATGAGGCTGTCGTTAAAAGCTGAGTCAGCCTGGCGCGGTCTCTTGGCCATGCTGTCACATGTGACCCAGCAGTGCAATGAAATGGAAAGTGCCTCAGGGCTGACGTGGTCAAGTGCCAGCTGGCAGCTTGTTATAACACACACATTTGCTTGTTCTGAATTTTGGGCTCTCTTCATCGAACAACCCACTTTTGTTTTCTTTTTCTTTTCATTGTTAAATATTTTTAGTTAATTTTTTACACAAAGTGGGGTGTACCTGATTTATTGATGGAGTGGATCATGGTTTTATTTATTTATTTAAAGAACGTAGTCTGAAGAGAGAGAGGTGAACTAGGGTTGCTGCTAATATTTGAAACAACAACAGTTCTGGAAAGACAAAATGTCAGTTTGCTGTTATTGAAGTACATTTCAGTTAAAGTAGTGCTTTCTGATATCTACGTTCTAATTTTCTTAAAACACCCATTGCTCCTTCTAAGATAGTTTCAACCCATTTTCACAACAACAATTCTACATTATTTCACAGATGGTATCTAATGCAAGCAACTACTCAATAACATCTGCTTTGCTCAAATCTTACACATTGACCATTGAACTACTCGTCTGAACAGTGACAACTCAATTGGCAGCACAATAATCCATCGCAGGTTTTGCGCTGTTCGAACGTTCCAAAGAAATGTTACTCTTGACAGATCGCACGTTTTAACACTTCTTTTCAAATCACGCAATTCATAGTATTCAAACAATAACATGTGCAAATCCATGCATGAAAATGCCCCTAGAGGCGGCAATGGGTCAGTTTGAAACGGAGCCCTATTGCCGCGAGAGGACCTAAGACTGCGGTCCCGAAGTTAGGGATCGCAAGACTGCGGCTGGCTACGCTCACCCTTCATCTTCATCGTCGTCTTCTTCTTTTTCTTCGCCTTCATATTCGCCTCTTCGTCCTGCGCCTCGTAAATATTTTGCAAACGCCTTTCAAATCTCACTCCATGCGCTTCCCGAGCCTCCTGGAACCTTGGTTGTTGCGCTCTCAGGTCTAGGGTTTCGCCGTGCGGAGCATCACCAAGTCAGTCTACGTTGTCGCCTTCTCTTCGGCTATGTATTTCCCAAGGAGAGAATAATCAACTCACGGATAGTTTCGGTACGAAGTCTACCCTGGGGTCGTGTCACGAATTCTGTTTGTTTCAGTGTCGTGACGCAATGCGGCTCACGTGATTTTTGTACGCGCGAAAATCTCGAGGTGAAAGCGAAGCGCGAACTACGAAGGGCCCTGAGTTGATAGTACAGGTTGCTAGGGAAAGGTAGATGGGCGGTAATTGGTGTCAGCAGTCGGCGCCAGAGAGGAGGAAGAGATGAAAGAGAGAGGTTTCCAGGGGTGTGGTACTATGTGAGTTGCGTCATTTTGATTGTGCGGGTGACTGCCACAGTGTTTAGAGTCGTGCGGGGAGAGGAAGGGGGGAGAGAGTTTTTTTTCACAGCGAGGCTCCGTGGTGCTTGATTGATCAAGAATCGAGGCCAACGGGTAGATGCGTGAATGGAATAGCAGCTAGTGTGAAGAGTGGTAAATTCTGTTCAACGGGAGAAATTTAGAAAGGTTGACTGGCTGAATAGTTTGCTGATTTTGGGAAAATCTTCCTATTTGGAGACCGGTAGTTAAGGGTGGTAGGAATTGAGTGGAGTTCTTGGTTTAGAGGTCTTGCAGGAAAGTAGAGTACTGAGAACTGTCAGCGCAACAAGGATAAATTGTCTCAGGTGCTGAGGGTGGAATTCCAGTACTTTTTTTTACCGAAAGTGTATTGTTGGACATCAATGCCATTGTGCCGCTGGAGCGTCCTTGGTTGCAGCGTAGATTCGTACTTGTCTTTAAGTGTAGATAATGATGCCTCTGAGCAGACTGCTTAAATGCGCTAACTTCGTGCTTTCCTTCCGTGCACCCTCTGTAGAGTTTATTCGTTTTTATTCTTGCATTGTTCCCTCTTGTAGAGTCTAACCGTGTAATTGTGTTGCAGTGCACTCAAATTCAACTAGATACGAGATTCAAAGAGAAGCCGGAAACGATGCGTTTTATTGCGCTAGAGTCTGCTCTTGGGAATTTGTAGATCCACTACTCGAGTTTGGTCTGTTTCCGTTCTCACCACTTTCAAGTTTACGTCAACAAATACTCCTTACGTAGCCATGGAAAATCAGAGTTGGCCCTATTTTGATCCCGATTATGAGACTGCATCCTCCAGTTTCGACCCTCCAAGGTATAGTAGACTATGTTGTGGTACTCAGTCTGACGTTGGACTTGCTTGAAGCTTATTCGAGACGGTCCTCTCCTGCAAAATCTTGATTTATTTCGTCCCAACTGAAATCTCTATTTGAACTGGATCTGATAAGCGTATACTTGAATGTGCAGGGTGACAATTGAAAACGATACGTCTGACAACGTCACTGTGGTGCAAGTTCACAGTGCCGACAGACATGGCATACTTTTGAATGTTGTGCAAGTGCTTACAGATCTCGATTTGGTGATAGTAAAATCTGACATGTTTTCTGATAAAGGGTGGTTTTTTGATGGTGAGTTTCCTTTTCGCCTTGATCATTTGCGAAGAGTGCCTTGGGTTATTGCTGTCATGGCTAGCTTGAACATCACTCGTTACGTGGAGATTGTGGTGCTGACATGAATTTGTGCTTTTGCAGTGTTTCATGTTGTGGATCACAGCGGAAATAAAGTTCGCGATCGATCTGTATTGGACCATATTCAAAACGTATGTGTAAATCATGGCATACTCAGGAAGTGAATCTTAATGCATCTGATAATTGAGCACTCTTTTCATTTTGTTCAAGATCTTCTCTTCTTCCAGTTCCGCTAACCTTGCATCGGATAATGTAATGCAGTCACTGGGATACAGGACTAGACGAGAGCAATCATCCGCTGATTTGTTGCGCCGCTCATCAGGATTGTCCGTCTCTGATCACACAGTTGTCGAGTTAACTGGCCCTGACAGACCGGGGCTTTTATCAGAAATATCTGCAATTCTGACGCAGTTGGATTGCAATGTGAATGCTGCTGAGGTATGGACGCACAATCTTAGGGTTGCTTGTGTTATATACCTTACTGATACGACTACGGGTGGCCCCATCCAGACTCAATCAAGGCTAGAGCTTATCAAGGAGCAGTTGTCGAAAGTCTTGAGAGGCGCCCATGACGAAAATCTTGCTAGATGGAAAATAGAGTACGCTACAGAAATCACACATGTAGAGAGGCGGCTGCACCAGCTGATGTACGATGATAGAAGGCATGCAGGACAGGATTATTCTAGAAGCTCGGAGGATAGGCCAAAGATACAGATTAAGAGAAACGAGCGTGGATACTCCATGGTTAGTATTCAATGCAAAGATCGACCGAAGCTCTTGTTTGATATCGTCTGTACTCTGACCGACATGCAGTATGTGATCCACCACGCTTTGATTAACTCCCATGAAGCCGACACGACTCAGGTAAGCTTTATCACGAGTATGTAGAATTGGATTGAAAGCAAGCACCTAATGTTTGAACAGAACCTTTGTTTGCCAAAGAACATGCCCTAATTGGGTCGTTGATTTTTATAACATTTTTATTTTTTATTCAGGAGTTTTTTATTCGCCATGAAAACGGTTGCACCCTCGAAACTCCTGCTGAGCAACATCTGATAGTTTGTCTTGAAGCTGCCATCAACCGGAGGACTACCAAGGTACACCCTTCGAGATTTGTCGAGTCCTTGGTGCTTGGAATATTTCACGATAATAATTCGGCTGCTGACCTTGCACACGTTTGTTTTCATCTTGTCCTTCCGTTTCTTTGCTCTGCTGTTGAAACTAAGTATGCGATTTTGAGAGAGTGACTTGATTGCAAATGCAGGGTCTGAGATTGGAGCTCTGCATGAATGACCGTGTTGGACTCTTGTCTGAAGTCACCAAGATATTTCGAGAAAATGGGCTTTCAGTTGCCCGTGCAGATGTGTCAACACGAGACGACAAGGCCGTGAATGTCTTTTATGTGTTAGACGCATCTGGTCGCCCTGTGAATATGAAAGTAGTGGAAGAGATGCGCAAGACGATCGGTCACGCAATCTTGCAAGTAAAAGGTACTCCGCCTCAGGAATCCGAGCTCCCGAATCCAGGCGCGAATTTTTTTGGTGGATTGTACCGAACATTCTCTGGGCTCACAAGTATGAACTGGCGTTCTACGGCCATTGCATGATGAACATCGTGAATACAAACATGAATTGCAGTTGATGCGACACACAAGGAAATCGGGATATCATAACGGACTACAAATTAAAGCCCGAGGAAGACGTGCGTGTCCTTAGGCTCTTGTGAGATTTCACGACCTGCAGAAGTTGCCTGTTCTCTCTCAGAACCAGGTTGCCGCTCAAATTCTTTAAGCTTGAAGAGCTTTTGTACAGCAAGAAGATCAAAGATTTCTTTGGAGGAGTAGATTCACAAATCTCTTGGAACATCACCCTATCCCAGGGACTTTCCGCCACTCAAACTACCGTACAATCGTTACTACTGCTTCAATCGACACAATTTCATGAACATGTGAAGTCTTCCAACTGACCAGTCACATACATTCTTGGACATGTGGAAATTCATGTCGAAATCAATGTGGAGATCTCAAACCATCAGAACAGGTTTTGAAATCGTGTGTGGACAACACCCTAGCTAAAGAATGCTACTCACTCCACTTAACATCATGCACAATTATCAGCATTTGTACAGAGTACTGGTTATTGAGAAAAAGAATGGAATGTGTGATTTTAATTAATGTGCTTCCTGTCCGAATTGAACTGTGTGTTGACTTTTTTTGTTTTGTTTTGCTTTATTTTTTTGCGTTCTCAGCATCTTTCTTGGAGATATACCCATTTTGTCAAAATTTGAAAGGGTACTATCAAGTGAATGCTGATGCCTATGCTGGGATTTACTGAGCGGATTATCTGAAATATGTTGTGAGACATCCGAAGCTTCAAATATAATTGAACTCACATCTGAACTGAATATAAGCTGATTTAGCATCCTACTATTGAAATTGACGATAAATAACATGCTATTACAACGTTACAATTTTGTTCAAACTTTGAATATGTACTGAAAGAAAAAAATTCAATTCCTGGAATCAAACGAAAGAAATGTGTCAATTTTTTATCTCTCTCCTGCATACTTTTATATCTATTTCTGAATTCCTTCTAAAGTATATGTATGAGTGTGTTTACATGTGTGTGTATATATATATATATATATATCTACAAACATATACAAACACAAATTTACAGTGCTGAATGATGATCCTCATGTACATGGTAGGCAACATCTATGAATTTCAAGTCACAACCAGGTTTCTTGTTAGTTCGATGTATTCGATATAATTTGCGAGAGGATGACGTTCACTGAGTTCTATTAACTTTGGTCACAAACTAGCCCTAAACTGATTTGATCCCCAAAAGTATAGTTGATCGTGTCCCTCGAATTTCCGCAGATTTTGTTGGGGCTATTTCCTGCGAAGCAGACGTTTCGGTAGACATATCATTGCAGAACTTACGATTGAGAAAAATGCAGAATACTTCTCAATGCTGTCTCCTGCTCGGGGAGACATTTTCTGCTAAACGACTACCTACAATCACCTGGAAGCTGGCCTTGAAACTCTTTGTTCTCAGTGGCTCTGAACATGGCGGCAGTTCTTCGGAGTTTTTCGAGTAAATCGGTCAAGTATGGGAGAACTATCACTGACAAATCTACAAAACTCTCTTTCAACTCATATTCCATCTTTGGAGGCACTGCACCTTCTGTGCTGTAAACACGATTCGCAAGCCAATTCTTGCTGAACTTTGCGTGTTGGCTTCGTAATTCTGGCAAATCCTTACACACAGTCTGGCGGCAAATAAAGTTCCGCTGTAATATGACTGGCTATTCACTGACAGCCTGGGCATAGTATCTAGAAGCCTTGAGTCCTGATTCCTTCATACTCCTCTTCCTTCTTATTCCATGTTCAATAGCAGTTCTTCCATCACAAGCTGCTATTCTTGTCATGTTCAAAACGAGGGTTGCACTGGAGATTATTGCAAACTTTAACGTCGTGAACGTGGCTGCGAGAAGGCAGGAGCTTGCAGGCCATGCTGAAAGCTGCTTGCTCACGGTAGTAATGCTTGAAGTGCATACTTCACTAACTTGAAATATGTTCAAATCCTGGCAATCGTATGAAAACTTGTGCTATAATACTTGTCTTCAACATATTAAGTATTACTAATGTTGATGTTTGATGGCAAATTTCTCTGCGTTCAGTCTCAATCATTAGCATCTTTCCAGGCACTGTGACTGCAGCCATGTGCCACCATCTTGTATTTTAAGTCTTCAGTTTCCTTTCTGAGGTTTGACTCTAGCTCTTTGTATTCCTACCTTTGGTAGTTAAACTCATCCTCCAATGAGTCTTAATTAAGAAGATTGGTACTTTTGTTGGTGATACCCAACCTGCTCTTCTGTTCCTACAATGATGTCACTTCCCACTTGCGTCACTTCATTTAAGGCGATGATGTCACTTTTGTCAATTTTAAGATTAGGTAAAAATCTTTTATCACTTATTGTGGATAAGTTATTCATCCATGTATAAAATGCCTTGTTCTCTAATGAAAAGATTAAATTACTTGTATATATTCATAACATAGTATCAAATCACTAGGGTATAATTAGATCAAGTGAACTTTGCTCCCTACTTAAGAAGAGAGATATAGAGACTGTTAGAAGTACAATAGAAGATATATCCTAATAGGTAAAATATTAGAGTTAGAGAAATGCCAGAAGTCAAAGAAAACTCTTTAAATTAGAAAGTAGAAGAGTTGAATAAACTATTAGGAGTTCAAAACTATTATGTCTAGAAGTTTAAGATGTCTACAATTTTGAAGAGAAAAAACTTATAGAGCATAGTAAAAAGAAAGAAGTTAGTCTCATCATTTCTTGCAAATATACTTAGTAGATCTTATATTAAAATGCAATTAGCATACGCAAAGCAAAGAGTTCAACCAAGACTCATCATGTTAATTGCAGATACCTTAATTGACATAGTGTTCTATCATAATAATCCTATAGATGCATGGAACATGCTTAGGAGAATGTTTAATGCAGGAGATCAACAACAAATTACATTATTGATAAACAAGTTAAATGAAATGACAATAAAAGAAGGAAGTTATATTGATACTTATTTAATGGATATAATTAAAAGTATTTGGTAAAATCATTGCAAACAAGACCTTTATGTATATTGTCCTCAATAGACTACTACAATACTACAAAATGGTGATTTAAGGCATCACCTACATGACACAATCCATATTTGAAAATGTCATATGTAAACTTTTCATTGAAATCCATTGTATAATAGTAAAAAAAAATAAAAATTAAGACAAAAAGAAGTATTATTAGTACAACTTTAAGATACTCATCTTGAAGGGTGTAGACAAAATCAATTTATGTAAAGTAAAGATCAAGAAAAAGAAGCTTAGCTTAAAGAATGTTGCAACACTTTAGATGGCCAAGTCCGTGTATGACTAATCAATTTTAAAATAGACTAAAAAGACCATCATGCTTTATTGGAGCAAGCTTTCTATTATCCACAGTTGGGTTTAAATAATACAAAGATATATAGTCATTTTGTTATTATGCATACAGAAGGCAAAACCACATTGTCTAAAATTGTTCACGGAATCAATGCTACAATTCTATGATTAATTATGTAGAAGAAAATACTTACAAAATATATGTTAGATATAGAAGTGAAGTTAACTTTGTTGTCTACCAAAATAAGAATTGGTATGTCAATTCAAGAGCCAATTATCATTTCAATAGAGAGATCTTGAATCTCTAGTAGATAGATGGACAAACATCAAGTAGGGGATTAAAAATTATATACAAAAAATCCATAAGGTTGAAATGGCTGAGTGTACTAGTATAACTTCAAGATTTTGTATAAAAAATTTATGCAATGTTTTGTATATCCTAGCCTCTAAGACTAAGTATTACAAACTTAGAGAAGAAGAGAATATAAATCTTTTGTCAATAGCAACGAGTAGTTTAATCAAGTTTGTTTTGAGGGACATATCTAAGCACACTTTCCAACAAACATCCATTGAACAATGCAGTCAATAAAGTATCCTATTCTAAATATATATCATAAACATACATATTTATTTAGATAAAAAATACTAAATAAAAGATAAATGTAGGTAGATTTGATATTATTTTATGGTGAAGCTTCTTAAAAGCTTCAAAGATACATATTTGACTTTCTACATGTTTATAATTGATTGATAGGTTAAAAACTTGGCCAAAAAAATTAGCCATGTATCTCACATATAAATAGCTTGTGATACAAGCTAATATTGCGCACATATACAAAACTTGTCTTGTGTTTTGTAAATTAGACATATGTTGAAAGATCTATAAAACACTACCACATAACTCTCAGTTTAATAGTATATATAGAGGCAAGAGTGAAGCTTTCTTTACTCTTGTCAATGCCTTTTTAGTCCTTATGCTTATTTCAAGAATTTTTAATCTTCTTATCTTTAGCAATAGCCACTCTAATTTAATATTATATTATCTTTGAATGATTTTTTAGTCTTTTTGAATGACATAAGAATTTATTGATTTTTTAGTTCTTTAAAATTCATGTCCTTAATAATTTAAAATCTAATACCAAATACAAAGATAGTTACATGCTTACGATAGAATCAAATCTTAAGCCTAAGAACTATGAAGAGGTAATTTAATATACGAGATGGCAAAAAAATCAAAAAAGATGTAGAATCCCTATTAAATAAATAAATGAATAAATAAAAAGATTTTAGTGGATTTACTTGAAGACAAGACTCTAATGTTAACAAATTAGATCTTCAAAAAAAAACTAAGACCTCACAGCAATGATAAAAAGTTGAAGGCCAAAACTATGGTTTAAAGATTTAAAGAAGAAGAGAGCATTGACTTCTTTGAAATCTTTGTACTTGTAGTTAGATGATCAATAGTAAGAAGCATTATTACATTAACAGCTAGAAAGGATTAAAAACTATAATATTTAGATGTAAAGACAATGTTTTTTAACAACAAACTTAAAGAAGAAGTTTATATGATATTACTTCCAGGATTTAAAGAAAAGAGAAGTCAAAGTAAGGTCTGAAAGCTAAAAAAAGTCTTACATGGATTATGTCAAGCCTCCTGTCAAGGACAAAGACTCGATGAGGGAAAATATACACAAAAAGGCTATCTCGATATAATAAGTCAAAATATAAACAAGTAGGTATATTAAAAGAAAACTGGAATGGCTATTGCCACAAGACAAGAAACTAAAGACTCTTGAACCTGGACTAGAAGCAAGAAAGGAGTTGACAAGAGTGAAGAAGCCTTCACTCTTGTCTCTATATATACTATCTAACTAGGGGCTACGTGGCGACGTTCTATAGGACCTCCAATATGTGTTGACTTTGTAGGACACATGCCTTGACTTACAAGGCAAGTTTTTCTACGTGTGGGCCACATAGTTAGCTTGATCTTCAAGCTAACAACATGTGTGGCACATGGCCAACTTGTTGACCACGTTTCTAATCCAAAAAGTCAATTAAAGACACCTATGAAGTTAAAGCAGTGTCTAGGAAGTTTCTAGGAAGCTTCTATATTAAATATTATAAAATTAACTTACTTTTATCTACTTTTACTTACTTCTATCTATTTCTATTAGCTTACATGATTATGGCCGTGACATTACCCCCCCTTCTAGAGACGA